TGTGTGTTCTACTCGGTGTCTCTGTGTGTGTCTACGCGTTGTCTCTGTGTGTTCTACCGCGTCTCTGTGTCTACTCGGTGTCTCTGTGTCTACACGGTGTCGGTGTTGTCTACACGGTGTCTCGTGTGTCTACGCGGTGTCTCTGTGTTGTCTACGCGGTGTCTCTGTGTTGTCTACGCGGTGTCTCTGTGTGTGTCTACGCGTGTCTCTGTGTTGTCTACGCGTGTCTCTGTGTGTTGTCTACATGGTCTCTGTGTGTGTTGTCTACACGGTGTCTCTGTGTGTCTACGGTGTCTCTGTGGTTGTCTACACGGTGTCTCTGTGTGGTCTACACGGTGTCTCTGTGTGTGTCTACACGGTGTCTCTGTGTGTGTCTATGCGGTGTCTCTGTGTAGTTACGCGGTGTCTCTGTGTGTTGTCTACGCTGTCTCTGTGTTGTCTACACGGTGTCTCTGTGTGTGTCTACGCGGTGTCTCTGTGGTGTGTCTACGCGGTTGTCCTGTGTGTGTCTACGCGGGTCTCTGTGTGTCTACGCATGTCTCTGTGTGTGTCTACGCGGTGTCTCTGTGTTGTCTACGCGGTGTCTCTGTGTGTGTCTACGCGGTGTCTCTGTGTGTGTCTACGCGGTGTCTGTGTTGTCTACGCGGTGTCTCTGTGTGTTGTCTACGCGGTGTCTCTGTGTGTGTCTACGCGGTGTCTGTGTGTGTCTACGCGGTGTCTCTGTGTTGTCTACGCGGTGTCTCTGTGTTGTCTACGCGGTGTCTCTGTGTCTACACGGTGTCTCTGTGTGTTGTCTACACGGTGTCTCTGTGTGTGTCTATGCGGTGTCTCTGTGTTGTCTACGCGGTGTCTCTGTGTGTTCTACCGGTGTCTCGTGTGTTGTCTACACGGTGTCTCTGTGTTGTCTACGCGTGTCTGTGTGGTCTACGCGGTGTCTCTGTGTGTGTCTACGCGGTGTCTCTGGTGTGTCTAGCGGTGTCTCTGTGTGTGTCTACGCGGTGTCTCTGTGTTCTATGCGTGTCTCTGTGTGTCGGTGTCTCTGTGTTGTCTACACGGTGTCTCTGTGTGTTCTACGCGGTTCTCTGTGTGTCTAGGGGTCTCTGTGTGTCTACACGGTGTCTCTGTGTGTGTCTACGCGGTGTCTCTGTGTGGTCTACGCGGTGTCTCTGTGTGTGTCTACGCGGTGTCTCTGTGTGTTGTCTATGCGGTGTCTCTGTGTGTTTACGCGGTGTCTCTGTGTTGTCTACGCGGTGTCTCTGTGTGTGTCTACGCGGTGTCTCTGTGTGTTGTCTACGCGGTGTCTCTGTGTTGTCTACACGGTGTCTCTGTGTGTGTCTACTCGGTGTCTCTGTGTGTGTCTACGCGGTGTCTCTGTGTTGTCTACGCGGTGTCTCTGTGTGTGTCTACGCGGTGTCTGTGTGTTGTCTACGCGGTGTCTCTGTGTTGTCTACGCGGTGTCTCTGTGTGTTGTCTACACGGTGTCTCTGTGTGTGTCTACACGGTGTCTCTGTGTGTGTCTACGCGGTGTTTCTGTGTGTGTCTACGCGGTGTCTCTGTGTGTGTCTACGCGGTGTCTCTGTGTTGTCTACACGGTGTCTCTGTGTGTGTCTACGCGTGTCTCTGTGTGTGTCTACGCGGTGTCTCTGTGTGTTGTCTACACGGTGTCTCTGTGTGTTGTCTACACGGTGTCTCTGTGTGTCTACTCGGTGTCTCTGTGTGTTGTCTACACGGTGTCTCTGTGTGTGTCTACTCGGTGTCTCTGTGTGTGTCTACGCGGTGTCTCTGTGTTGTCTACGCGGTGTCTCTGTGTGTGTCTACGCGGTGTCTTGTGTGTTGTCTTACGTGTGTCTCTGTGTGTGTCTTCGCGGTGTCTCTGTGTGTGTCTACACGGTGTCTCTGTGTGTGTCTACTCGGTGTCTCTGTGTGTGTCTACGCGGTGTCTCTGTGTTGTCTACGCGGTGTCTCTGTGTCTACGCGGTGTCTCTGTGTGTTGTCTACACGGTGTCTCTGTGTGTGTCTACGCGGTGTGTCTGTGTTGTCTACGCGGTGTCTCTGTGTTGTCTACGCGGTGTCTCTGTGTGTGTCTACACGGTGTCTCTGTGTCTACTCGGTGTCTCTGTGTGTTGTCTACACGGTGTCTCTGTGTGTGTCTACTCGGTGTCTCTGTGTGTGTCTACGCGGTGTCTCTGTGTTGTCTACGCGGTGTCTCTGTGTGTGTCTACGCGGTGTCTCTGTGTGTTGTCTACACGGTGTCTCTGTGTGTGTCTACACGGTGTCTCTGTGTCTACTCGGTGTCTCTGTGTGTGTCTACGTGGTGTCTCTGTGTGTTGTCTACGCGGTGTCTCTGTGTGTTGTCTACACGGTGTCTCTGTGTGTTTACACGGTGTCTCTGTGTGTGTCTACACGGTGTCTCTGTGTGTGTCTACGCGGTGTCTCTGTGTTGTCTACGCGGTGTCTCTGTGTGTGTCTACGCGGTGTCTCTGTGTGTGTCTACGCGGTGTCTCTGTGTGTTGTCTACGCGGTGTCTCTGTGTGTGTCTACGCGGTGTCTCTGTGTGTGTCTACACGGTGTCTCTGTGTGTGTCTACTCGGTGTCTCTGTGTGTGTCTACGCGTTGTCTCTGTGTTGTCTACGCGGTGTCTCTGTGTCTACGCGGTGTCTCTGTGTCTACACGGTGTCTGTGTGTTGTCTACACGGTGTCTCTGTGTGTGTCTACGCGGTGTCTCTGTGTTGTCTACGCGGTGTCTCTGTGTTGTCTACGCGGTGTCTCTGTGTGTGTCTACGCGGTGTCTCTGTGTTGTCTACGCGGTGTCTCTGTGTGTTGTCTACATGGTGTCTGTGTGTGTTGTCTACACGGTGTCTCTGTGTGTGTCTACACGGTGTCTCTGTGTGTTGTCTACACGGTGTCTCTGTGTGTGTCTACACGGTGTCTCTGTGTGTGTCTACACGGTGTCTCTGTGTGTGTCTATGCGGTGTCTCTGTGTGTAGTCTACGCGGTGTCTCTGTGTGTTGTCTACGCGGTGTCTCTGTGTTGTCTACACGGTGTCTCTGTGTGTGTCTACGCGGTGTCTCTGTGTGTGTCTACGCGGTGTCTCTGTGTGTGTCTACGCGGTGTCTCTGTGTGTGTCTACGCGGTGTCTCTGTGTGTGTCTACGCGGTGTCTCTGTGTTGTCTACGCGGTGTCTCTGTGTGTGTCTACGCGGTGTCTCTGTGTGTGTCTACGCGGTGTCTCTGTGTTGTCTACGCGGTGTCTCTGTGTGTTGTCTACGCGGTGTCTCTGTGTGTGTCTACGCGGTGTATCTGTGTGTGTCTACGCGGTGTCTCTGTGTTGTCTACGCGGTGTCTCTGTGTTGTCTACGCGGTGTCTCTGTGTCTACACGGTGTCTCTGTGTGTTGTCTACACGGTGTCTCTGTGTGTGTCTATGCGGTGTCTCTGTGTTGTCTACGCGGTGTCTCTGTGTGTTGTCTACGCGGTGTCTCGTGTGTTGTCTACACGGTGTCTCTGTGTTGTCTACGCGGTGTCTGTGTGTGTCTACGCGGTGTCTCTGTGTGTGTCTACGCGGTGTCTCTGTGTGTGTCTATGCGGTGTCTCTGTGTGTGTCTACGCGGTGTCTCTGTGTTGTCTATGCGGTGTCTCTGTGTGTTTACGCGGTGTCTCTGTGTTGTCTACACGGTGTCTCTGTGTGTGTCTACGCGGTGTCTCTGTGTGTGTCTATGTGGTGTCTCTGTGTGTCTACACGGTGTCTCTGTGTGTGTCTATGCGGTGTCTCTGTGTGTGTCTACGCGGTGTCTCTGTGTGTGTCTACGCGGTGTCTCTGTGTGTTGTCTATGCGGTGTCTCTGTGTGTTTACGCGGTGTCTCTGTGTTGTCTACGCGGTGTCTCTGTGTGTGTCTACGCGGTCTCTCTGTGTGTGTCTACGCGGTGTCTCTGTGTTGTCTACACGGTGTCTCTGTGTGTGTCTACTCGGTGTCTCTGTGTGTGTCTACGCGGTGTCTCTGTGTTGTCTACGCGGTGTCTCTGTGTGTGTCTACGCGGTGTCTGTGTGTTGTCTACGCGGTGTCTCTGTGTGTTGTCTACGCGGTGTCTCTGTGTGTTGTCTACACGGTGTCTCTGTGTGTGTCTACACGGTGTCCTCTGTGTGTGTCTACCGGGTGTTTCTGTGTGTGTCTACGCGGTGTCTCTGGTGTTGTCTACGCGGTGTCTC